GCACTATTTTTCTTTTTAACCACTTCTCGTTTGACTTCTTTATTCAAGCTTTTATATTGTTGTTTTGTTTGTTCGTCTCCCTGTTGTTTGCTACCTTGGATATTAAGTAGCCTTATTCCCAACTTCATCCTTAGCGATTCAAAACTTCAATTATATTTTTAGTAGTCTACTAGAGATCTAAAATATATTCGCTAGAGAACATGATAACCAATGCATTTTTTATATAAATAATTCATTCAATACTAAAGTTAACTAACAACCTATACGCGTAATCAACAACTTTGTAATTGGAAAGCCGTGTTCGGGAGGGATATGTTACCTTCCTCATTTCATTTAATCTACAGGGTGAACAAATTTTGCTCCTAGTTTTTTTAAAAATAAAAAATAAACACTAATAACTTTCAAAGTGGTCACGATACCGCAATATTAGCGTCATTAACGAAAAAACAATAAAAATTGTTACCATTCTCTAATAAACTTTAAAGCGGTATGAAGGACAAATCACGGACACTATGACCTATTAAACATTACATGTTTAGATCATAATTAACACGCTTATGATATCAGCAGCCCTTATGCCAAATTTTTTAAAAATAGAATCAATACTCATCTATAGATTCGTAAAATGCGTCGGGAAGAAAATTTTGAATTTAAGAGTTTTCAGTCCCCGAATCAATTTTGGTTCAAGGAATCAAAAGCATTTTTAAATTCAAAGAAAATCATTTAAGGATTTTTATTATACTTTTTTGTTTTTTAGAATGTTGTTTCACAACATGTATTTAACCTTTTGTAGACACTTCTGTTGCCATTCAGTCTCTGGTTCATTAAATTTGCAAGAATTTTGCATATATTTTATTTTCATATATTATGACTTAAATTTGTAATATTTTTAAATTAATATCACAATAGTCAATAAAGATAACAAAACTCGAATAACATAAATCGAATGACGTATGAAAAATCATAAAATGATTTGATATTTACTGTGCTTAAGACACAACAGATTGTTGTTGTTCAGAAATAGCAAACATAAATTAAAAAATATCGGTAATAGAATAGAATTTATTTAGTCAATATTTTACAAAAATAGTTTTATCTTTGACAAGTCAAAGGAGTAGTGACAATTTTTACTTACATCATATAAACTTTTTGCGAATTTAAACATTACAAACAGATATTTAATATTAACAATTTAAGAAACAACAAATATAGTGAAATAAATCGTTCAGATAAATAAGAAACAAAGTGGTTCCTAATATCGAACCTCGAGGAACCCCATATTCTACAGTGTAAAAACTCAGAATAGCTGTTATAAGAATTCGCTGCCTGTTTTCTATTTGTTAAGATAACTTAATGATCTTAACCTTAGGAGTACGGAGATTATTTGACTTACTTAGATTACGAAGATGGGTCAAGCGTGACCCATTCTCATTCTATTTATAAGGATGTTTTAAATAGTCAGTATTATTAAACAGTATCTTTAATTCAACAAAAGAAACAAAGAAACATAAAAATTATGATCCCAAATTTTTGTATTTAAATTTTTTAAGATGGTTCACCATCCTGGTCTTTTTGGCAGTAGTTGCATTTAATTTGGACAATATGGACTTCTTCGCGTTTTGAATAAGTATTACAAACAAATCTTTTACACATGTCACACCTTTTTGAATATTTATTGTCACTACCCCTAACAAGAATAACAATTACCTCGTTTTGTTGCAGATTTTGGCACTTTGCACGATTTGCTTTTGCACGATTTGCTTTTTTACACTAACACCGGTGGTCTTTATTGCAGCGATTACGGATTTAGGGTATCCGGTGGGTTCTTCTTGTATTGCTTCCGCTCTTCGTTTTATACTGGACGAGGTTAATTGTTTTCCAAGCTCCTCCAGAAATAGTTTTCTGCGATGTTTTATATTTACTTGGCTATTCTATTCAGGATTTTTCGTATTCCAGAGAACGAAAGCATTGTAGCACGCATTATCCAAAAAGTTCAAAAATATACGTAAGGGCCATCTTCTTGTTGCTCTTTTACATGTGTACTCTCTGGTCAATTTATCTAAAATATCGACTCCACTTTGGTTGGTTGTAATCCAAAATAATCTTTGGTTTAAATTTTTGGTTTTCATCAACAATTTCATGTTCATTGTGTAAGGTCGATAATAATACAACAAACTTATTAGGCTTGGTTACATATGAACCTAAGGTAATGTCTTGAGTGAACAAAAATTTTGAAGAATACAGTGGGCGATCTGTCATTTCACGCAATGATTTGGGTAAACTCTTTCTATTTTTTCTAATAGTACCCAAAAGAGTTAAATTTTTGGTTAACAGTTTCTTCAGATAAAGCAATATCGGTAAAAAAGTTATCAGTTGTAATATTTCGACCAGACCTATACCAACCAATGTTCTGCAAGTGTTTTGACAACTCTTGGGCCTTGGTTACGTTCAGATTGATCGTAAATAGTTCTACAAATAGTTCGTATAATTCCCTACAATTTTGGGCAAATAGATCAGCGATTTCTCGAATAGGAGCTAATTTATCTTGTTCTCTTCTTTCTGCTCTCGTTTCCAAATTATCAAAGCGAATATGCTTCAAAATACTTATAAGTCTATCCCGGCTTAGAGATGCTTTATATATAGGACGCGTAAATGCATTATTTGTATTGGACCATAAATTATGCACCTTCTCATGGGACTCTCTGAACCTTCCACATAATATTAAGTTATACAAAAAAAGCACGCAGTTCGACTAGATACGCAGCTATGAACTCAATAGCTCTTTTATTGGTATACTCAAGAATCATTGACATTATACTATCAGAAAAAAATAAATTGATGGCATCCATGCATGTCTCAATATTTTCTTAGTTAGACCTACGTTTTTCTGTAATAAATTACATGCCAATGTCTTACCCTTTTTTGGAGCTAAATAACGCCATGTTCGTCCTTCGCACAAAACATCAGATACGCTAGATCTTTCACTATCTATATTTTCAGAAGTTGTCGCTAAAACTTCCTCATTCTCGAGTTCAGTAATTGACAAATTACCTTCATGTACTTCTGGCTCACAACCGTCATTATCACTCGCTTCACTATTGATTTCATCCAGCTCTGCAACATCATCTTCTTCACTATCTGATAGGAGTAAGGCATACAACTCAGCTTCACTCAAAGGTTTATTCTTTTTCCACATTTTGATATAATACTGCACACTTCAAGGTCGATGCTTGAATTAAATTGATCAACAAACGGGAAAGTTTTACACCAAAGTTAGACCTCTCGTCTTGGACGTTCCATAGAATATGCCTATTAGACACTACATTACACCCAAGGTTAACTTCTATCTACTAATATTTCTACAAACATAATCATTTTGCCTTGAATACGTTTACTGGAAAACAGAGACAGCTGCGTTTTAACGTGTACCTACAAACACATTGAAAAATTCTTCAAAATCCGAAGACCGGGTCAGGACTGACACGACATCATAGATTTTACGTAGAGGAAAAACTGCAATTTGCATGTTCACGAATGATGCACGAAAAAATAGATTGAAACAAATAAGGAGAACTTACGAACAATCAGATTTGTAAAAAAATTATTTCATGAAATATTAAGAAATAAGTGAATTTCGGGTCACGCTTGACCCAGTCTTCGTACTCCGAAGGTTAATAGATGATTAATAGGTTAAGAGTGTTTCCCCTAATACAGTATTTATGCATTTTATCCAACAGTAATTCATACGAAATACAGTCAAAAGCTTTGGATAAGTTACACAAAATCAAAGACACAAAATGATCTTCCTACAAGCCATCAACTATATCTCTTACAATTTTCTGTATTGCCAGTGTAGTGTACATTTTTTCTAAAGCCATATTGATTACAGTAAAGTATAATGTGTTTTTCTAGATATTCTATCAAATAAACATATAAATTTTGCCAAAAATGGGAATGATTGAGATGGGGCGATAATTTCCACTTTCATCTAGAGCTTCCTTTTTGAACACTGGTAGCACTCGTGTTACTTTTAATACATCTGGGAAAATCACTTCAGTAATACAATTATTATAAAATATGAATTTTTCAATAATTATATCGATTGTTTTCACAATTATTTTTTTGTTTAAGAAATAAAAATCTTGATTGATTTGATTGTTGATTTATAAACTTCTTAAACTTTTTATACGTACTATATTCCTTTGTAACATCAGCAATTATCTTTTCGTGGAAAGATTTTCTCGCATTACTATCAGTTCATCATCAAACCAAGAGATTGGAGCTTTACTATGAGTTCGTGATTTTTTTATTGGAAAATTAAATTCAGTTGACTTTACATACATTTCGGTAACAAATTGAGCTAATTCTGTTGCTGTTTTGAGAGAAACAACTGAAGCCCAGTCAACGTTATTTAACGACTGTTTTAACATCAGAATGCCATTACTTGTTATATGTCTTCTGTATGTATTAGCACTATGACTTTTTGTAGATTTTGTTTTTAAGTAGAGAAATTTAGCAAGATAATCAGAAATACACGGGTTAACAATTCCACAACCAACTATATCACTGCTTATGTTTGTTAAGGTGTTATCTAAACAAGTTGATATTCTAGTTGTGATTCTAGTAAATTCATTAATATTTGTGGTTAAGCCAAAAGTAGAAATTATATCACGGAAACTGTTTAGTTCATTAGAAGCTTTTTTGAAATCAATGTTGAATGATCTGGTTACATCACCTCTCCAATCTCCAATTATTATTATTTCTAAAAAAATTTCAGAGAAAAACACTAATAACTTTTTAAATAGGTCTAGAAAAGCTTTAATCATGTAATGTTTATAATAATAATAATAATAATAACATGTGACATTGATTTTACTAAGAAAGACCAAGTTTTTTAAGTTTAATAATTTAATATAAATATTAACTAATAATACAAATATCGCCCCTTTTGTAATCGATACTAATCCAACACATTTCTATTAAGGAGTATTCTGTTTCAGATGTTCTTGAAAGCTTTACTTGCCCTCCATGCGGCGGCAGCACTGATATCGATGTCGCAGGCCGTGCCCTCCAACGCTCTCGAAAGTCTTTTAGCGTCTCCTTGCCCGGAAGCATTTACTTATGGAACGATTGATAAGCCAGGTTATTGGACAGGAAACCTCGTCTTAAGATCAGATCATGACATTAGTGGAGTCTGGATCAGGCTGATATTTGATAAGGAAGTTGAGAAAGTGACACTAAACGTAAGTTGCTAATTACGGTGCTAAACGTTAACTGCGGGTATTTAATATGTAAAGGGATGTGCTAAAATTTATGTAAAGATCAGGTCCGGACTTTAAAGAATAAAGCATGTAACATGTGTTTTACCAATTCTAAATATTTTTATACTAAATTTAAAATAAACAATAAGGTTATTTAAGCCATTCTATTATTAAAACAAGATATTATAATCGTATAAGTAAATATATTTGATATTCATTTATTTCTGTCAAATCTCTTATATTTATAAACTATTTTGATCTTCATATGCTGCTTCGCCATACTAGTGAGTAATGTGTTTTTTCCGTCTTTTTTTCTTATTTTTATTCTTTTTGAATGCAATTATTTCATGTCACAGAAAGAAAAAAGGTAATAATAAATAATAATATCATATAGTGGGTAGCAGTGTGTTAGGGAGGTGAGACCCCGTCATACAATCAGCTACAGCCCAACAACAACAACCACAAGCAAGACAAACAACAACAAGAGCTCAACTCGTTGAAGGTGCTGCGCTGAAACATCAGTCAGAGCTCATTCAAGCGGGACCAGCGAGGCAGCGCATGAAGTGTGCGAGTTAATAGCAGACCAATACCGGGCAATTATAAGAAACGATCTTATCCTATAGATTAGACCCGATGTAATCAGAAGCGAAGTCGAATGGAAGATTTATATCCAAGAGTTGTAGAAGAAGTCCCTAATAAAATTACCAATGAGCAGTTTCCTGAGCTTCTCATACAAGAAACTCAACCTAATAATACACAGCAGGACAGTAACGAGGTGTACGAGAGTTTGGTAATGAGATGGCACGTGCTGTACAAGAGTTTAGTAGAACAGACCCCTTAGAAGACCACCGCTACCAAAAATGAACTCTTTTAAGAAACTAGGAGCGCTATTACAAATTGTGAATTCTGAAGTTTTACCCAATTATATAGCAAAAGCCCGTACATTAAAATATTTGCATATGCTGATTTATTATGCAGCAACAGCAGTTGCTAATGCTATGGGCATTAAGACCAGAACACGACGGGGTCCTAATATCGGAAGGACTGATAACAGAATAGCATCCTGGAAAAAACGACCACTGAGGAAGATTAGTTTATTGCTTAGGAACATTGGACAAATACCGGAATACATCCAAGAAGAAGAAACTAAAGAAATTATCAATAAAACTTAAAAAGAGATTGCAGAACACTTTAACACACTGACAACATGATCCCGAAAACAACACACCTCAACAATGCCTGGACACACTAACAGAAAAACTCGTCGTTTATTCCGGCCGCCTAAGAAGATACAAAGTTAGTAACAACTGGAAATACGACAATATACTTCTTAAACATGCAAAGAAGGCGTTTTATAGGAAACCTAATTTCACTGTAGAAAATGATAATAAATCATACTCTCATCATACAGCTACTCATATCCAGTGCTTTATGGATTAAAGGCACAACGAAAAATTATAAACATGACAATGATATTCCTTATGAACCCTTTACCACTAAAGAAGTCTTAAATAGTATTAAAGAGCTTCATAACCGTAACTCCTGGACCCGATGGAGTTCAAAATTTCTGACTAAAGAAGTTTTGGAGTGTTTGTGAGTGTTTATCAATGTTATTAATCATGTTAACTTTAATCCGCAAAAAGTACTTTCATCTTTTACCTTATCTATCCGCAAATTCTTTTTATCCGAAAAAAGTACTTATCTAATACCGAAGGATCAAAATAACCCTCAAGATCTAGCCAAGTACCGTCCAATTGCTTGTCTTTTAACTTTGTACAAATTGGGCATCCTGTAGTCGGTATTACCAACACTGTGTTCTAAATATTATCATAGCCTCATCAGACAGGACGCTAAGGGCTTAATGGGTTGCAAAGAATAATTTATTATCGACTCATTTCTAACCAAGCATATACTCAAAAAAATAAACTTTCTTACTGCCTTCATTGACTACAAGAAGACCTTTGCTTCAGTGCCACATAAACGGCATTTAAATATATTAAAAATATATAAAGTCGACGATAACATAGTTGATCTTTTTAAAACATATAATGATAAAATGAAAGACCAAAATTCACTTTTAAATAACTGGTGAAAACAATATCAAAACTGAAGATATCCCAATTAACGGAACCCTTTTTCACTGGAACTCACTGAGTTCACATTGATTCTAGCGATGTCTAGCGATGAACCCACTATCTCAGCTCACTGACTCAGGTTTTAGCATAAAAAATATCAATACTGTTGTGGCGAAGCTTAATCGTCTGTTGTATATGTATGGTTTCAAATCAATGGCTTCCACTCGAAACCACCTACATCAGATTCTAAAAACTGTAGAAAAGTTCTCAAATCATACCAGTATTTACTTTAGACTAGACAAAAACCGTAAAATAAATATAGTCAGGGAAAGGTTTAGCCCGGAGATATTGCGAAAGAAGCGTGAAAATTTGAATAAAATTATAAAATCCGAATTAACTTCTGAATTTGTGCGAAATGTTAGTTAAATATTTTAATGCTTTAGCGGAAAGCAAAAATACTTCTTAAAAAGGCACAAAAACATCACCCACGCAGTATAGTAGATAGAACAATAATACCGCGGTTGATAGCAGCAAGTCCTCAGAGACACTTTGTCTTAGGACTAGCGACCTTCAGTGGAGTCTAGCAAGAAGAGGCGTTAGCAATTTAGATAAATATACATCAGAGCCATCTTACGTTAAGCCAGTCAGACATTATGAGATAAACATCCCTTTATCAATACCAAGAAAACAAAGTAGGTGGTCCTAAAAGTTCAGGTGTTATTTTAAGTAATTTTGTAATAGGCCCTTTTCTCTTTAATAAAACACTAAATGGATAGGTTTGTTTAGATATTTTAGTAAATGAATTACGTATTTCAGTTGAAAAATTGTCACTCAATATCTGTCAACAATTTACGGTATATACATGCCGAAACTTCTTTTAACAATAAGCCGCTTATCTACAGTAAATTTGATAGGCAATTTCCTAAGAGATGGATACAAAGAAACACCAATTCAGTGGCCGGCTAGATCGCCAAAACTAAATAAAGTCGACTTTTTCTTCTAGGGAACGATCTAGTGTAAAGTAAACTTCGAACAATGACGAGTGTTATGAAGTTCAGAATTAGAAAATACTTGCATGTTACGTTATGCTTACAAATGTAGGAAGCCTGTATTACTTCTTCGTATGTCGGGTATTGGTCTTCTATTTCAGCTTTATGTACCTCTATGTTTGATTTATTTCTGCTAGATTGGTCATTCAATAGTTAATAGAAGTATTCCTTCCAAGTTTTTAGGATTTCCTTGTCATCCGTGATAAGCTGTCCACTGTCGTTTTGAAGGAAATTTCCTGTTCTTGCTTGGTACCCGGTCTTGATATCTAAAACTTCTTTAAAGACCTGTCTCGCCTGTTTGTTTCTTTCTTTTTTCTTTTATATCTCCGATTATTTGTTCCTGATACTCCCTCTTCTTCCTTTTCATTAGTTTTCTTGTCTCTGTTCTTCTTTGTCTATACATTTCATTGTTGTTGTGCGAGGGGTTTTGTAGCATGTTCTTTCTAGCCATATTTCTTGCTGTTATGGAGTTCAGGCAATCATCATCGATTTATTTTTTTGTTGTGTTCTTTTTGTGTCCTAGTATTTCATCTGATACGCTTGTCAGTGCTAATTTGATATTTTTTCAAGCTGAGTCTATGTTGTTATAGTCTTCTCTTTGTGTTAGAGCGATTTTTATAGCATTATTTTGAAGTTTCTGTTTTGTCTCCTTATTACGTAGAACTTCGGTATTTCATAATTGTGTTGGTGTATTCTTGTGTGTATTTTTTGACACTATTCTTGTCCTTATCTTCGCTTTTACTAGAAAATGATCCGTGTCTCCATCAGCTCCTCTTAGGCTTCTTACGTCTAGACAGTTACTACCCCTCCTGGCATCTGCTAGAACATAATCGATCTGATTTCTTGTGACGCCGTCATTGAAGACCCATGTTTGTTACTGTATTTTCTTGTGTTCGAACATTGTCCATTTTATTAGTAGGTTGTGGGACGCTGCAAAGTCTATTAACCTTGTTCCATTATTGTTGCTGACATCGTAAATACTATGGTTACCTATTGTTGGTTTCGTACGTTGTTTGTGGGATATACCACGAACTGTAAAATAAATTTTTACATTTTTACAGGAGTTCTACTTTTAAGAAAGTCGTACGGTTAGAAAATGGTATAAATTTAAATGTTGCCCTGTTATCAATTTCTGTGGAAACTTAAACATTCTAGTATATAAGATCAAATAATGTAACTTAAATTCAATTTAACAATATTTAACGGGCTTTTACCAAAGTATTTATGTGGCTCAAAACATGTACATTTGGATAACACTGATAATGGAATATTAATTCCGAAATATTAATTCCGATTATGGATGTGAAACTAGGACTTTAAACGCCGATATCATGAATAAAATCGAGGCGTTTGAGATGTGGTTGTATCGAAGGATACTAAAAATTCCATGGACTAGCAGAACCAGAAACGAAAAAGTTCTTCGAAGAGTGGGACATCAACGAACTCTATTAAATATTATTAAGAGGCGTAAACTAGAATATCTTGGACATATAATCAGAGGACCAAGATATGAGTTCCTTCGGCTAATTCTCAACGTTAAATCGTAGGAAAGAAATGGATAGAACGGAAGAAACTCTCTTGGTTGAGGAATTTGCGGCAGTGGACAGGTTTGACAGCGGACCAATTGCTACACGTAGCCCAAGACCGAGATCATATAATAATATTATAAGCATGGTAGTCGCCGACGTTCCGTAGGGATATGGTACTTAAGAAGAAGAATTCCGAAAACGATCTGTGATGTAGCCCGATAGGGTGCTTAAATTAAGTATATACCTTTTAAAAAGGATTTTATATAAAAATTGGTACTGTAAATAGGTGAAATATTTATGTTCAAAAGTATTTATTGAAAATGATTGTC